AAATGGAAAAGCATTTTTTTACGTAATTTAAGTTGAAAAAAGCGACCTAGTGTAGATATTATATTAATATGTATTAGATAGGTATATAATTAAAAATTGAAAAATCAATCGTATGATATGATTGTTATGCGTACAAATTCCTATTTACGGTGACAATAAAAATAGATTAATATTTGAAATATTTTGTACTCAATTTTGCAGAAGTGACATCGTAATTCTCGGTTGCATCTCAACAGTTATTTTATATATACTATGTAAATTTTCTCTCAAAAAAATATAATTTTTCTCTCAAAAAATTTAATTCTTCTCTCAAGAAATTTAGCGTGAGATAATATCTTTATTTAAGTTTAAAATATTTTAGATCTTTTAAAAGTTTTGTTTAGACAATTTTATTATATATTCTATCTATATATTCATATGCATATACAAATGTTAAATGTAAATATTTTTAGGCATGTCTTATTTACATAAGAGTTTAGAATAATTCTTGGTGATTTCACATTTTCATACAAAAGTGAAATTACAATATTTTTAGACATGTTTTAGTTACAAAATTGTTTAGAAAAATTTTAGGTGACTTCACATCTTTAAATAATAATATAAGAAATTTTAGATTATTTTTCATATGTTATATATATGTATATATATATATATATATATATAATATTTTAGGTGTTTTTTTATTTTAAACATACATTTTTTAAGATTTTTTATATAGGGTATTATATATTGCTTACCATAAACTATTGCTTACAATAAACTGGTAAATTATATTACATGTTAAACCACATATCCTTAATTTATAATTATCATTTAATATCACATGTTAAACCACATATCTCGACGATGATCCATCAGCCTGTTATCATGCTGCTCGACGTCGTCGATCGTTGCTTGAATGGCCTCATCCGTCTTCAAGCCTGATTTCTCCTGTCGCGACGCCACTCGGGTTCTAACCGCTGTGCCTACCATCGTCTCTGAAAATGTACCATCAGTGTTGGCTTCATCGTGTATCTTTAAATGTTCGAACTCCTGCAGCCATGGCTGTAAGTGTTTGATCTGCCGATGAATATGAATTTGTAGGTCGCTTCTATGATTTTAGAGAAGAGAAAAAAGGCATGAAACGACATCGTTTCACTGCCACACACCACACAATACAAACAAGCAAAAGGAGGGGAACTTATTTGAAAACTCATTTCTAAAGTGCTGCGGAATCTTAATAACATAGCCCAAAAAAATAAAATATAATAAAAAACGTGCTAAAACATTGTCCGAAGAAATAAAAAGAATAAAAAAAGTGCCAAAGCAATTTGAGAGAAAAACGAATATAATAATCCTTTAAGAAATGGAAAAGAATTTTTTTACGTAATTTAAGTTGAAAAATACGACCTAGTTTAGATATTATATTAATATGTATTAGAAAGTTATATAAACAAATTGAAAAATCAATCGTATGATATGATTGTTAAGCGTACAAATTCCTATTTACAGTGACAATAAAAGAAGATTAATTTTTGAAATCTTTCGTACTCAATTTTGCGGAAGTGACATCGTAATTCTCGGTAGTATCTCAATAGTTATTTTATATATACTATGTAAGTTTTTTCTCAAAAAAATTAATTTTCCTCTCAAAAAAATTTAATCCTTCTCTCAAGAAATTTAGCGTGAGATAATATCTTTATTTCTGTTTATAATGTTTTAGATCTTTTAAACGTTTTGTTTACACAACTATTTTACGTACTCTATCTATATATTCATATACATATACAGATGTTAAATGTAAATATTTTTAGATATGTCTTTAGAATAATTCTAGGTGATTTCACATTTTCATACAAATGTGAAATAATGTTTTTAGACATGTTTTCGTTACAAAATAGTTTAGAAAAATTTTAGGTGACTTCACATTTTTAGGTGTTTTTGTAATTTTATCATTTAATATCACATGTTAAACCGCATATCTCGACAATGATCCATCAGTCTGCTGTCGCGCCGCTCGACGTCGTCGATTGTTGCTTGAATGGCCTCAGCCGTCTTCAAGCCTTCCTTCTCCCGCCGCGCTGCCACTCGGATTCTAACCGCCGCGCCTACCATTGTCTCCAGAATTGTACCCTCGGCGTTGGCTTCATTGTGTATCTTTAAATGTTCGAACTCTTGCGGCCATTGCTGTAAGTGTTTGATCTGCCGATGAAAATGAGTTTGTAGGTCGCTCCTATGATTTCAGAGAAGGGGAAAAAACGTGCATCTGATGTGATCTATTGCGTAAAGCAGCACACCTAAAATCTTGTCGCGTGTAATGACTATATTGTCCCCAAAAAGCATTCCAAATCAAGGGCATTTTTGTCTGCACAATTACAAAAAAAAAGGCATGAAACGATGTCGTTTCACTGACACACAGACCACACAATACAAACAAGCAAAAGGAGGAGCACTTAAGACATTTCACAAAGGACAGGTGTCAATCTCTTGGTGTCTCAAATCGGTTTATATATATAAGAGAGAGATAATAGAGAGATGTGTGTAAAATGTTGCTAATATTGTAATATCTTAGTCTATATATTATAGCACATAATTTTATCCATCAAAGTTATCCAACGAATCCTTAAATTTAAAAACTCATCTCTAAAATGATACGGAATCTTAATAACGTAGCCCGAAAAAATAAAATATAATAAAAAAGTGCCAAAACATTGCCCAAAGAAATAAAAAGAATATAAAAGAATTGCCAAAGCAATTTGAGAGACAAATGAATATAATTATCATTTAAGAAATGCAAAAGTAATTTTTTACGTAATTTATGTTGAAAAAAGCGACGTTGTTTAGATATTATATTAATATGTATTAGATAGTTATATAATTACAAAAATCAATCGTATGATGTGATTTTTAAGCGTACAAATTCCTATTTACAGTAACAATAAAAAAGACTAATTTTTGAAATCTTTTGTACTCAATCTCGCGGAAGTGATATCGTAATTCCTCGTAGCATCTCAATAGTTATGTATATATAAATTTTCTCTCTAAAAAAATTAATTTTTCTCTCAAAAATTTTAATTCTTATCTCAAGAAATTTAGCGTGAGATAATATCTTTAATTAACTTTATAATATTTTATTCTTTTAAACATTTCGTTTAGACAATTTTTTTACATATTCTATCTATATATTCATATACATATACAGATGTTAAATGTAAATATTTTTAGACATGTCTTATTTACATAAGATTTTAGAATAATTCTAGGTAATTTACATTTTCATACAAATGTGAAATTCAAATGTTTTTAGACATGTTTTATTTACAAAATAATTCAGAAAAATTTTAGGTGACTTCACATCTTTAAATAATTATATAAAAAATTTTAGACATATATTTTTTAACTTGTTTTATACAAAATATATTACACTGTTTATAATAAACTGGTAAATTATATCACATTTTAAACCACATATCTTTAATTCATAATTACCATTTAATATTATTTACCCGTATATCATACGAGCTACACGCACTACGAACTAGTTAGTGTGGTTAGGTACTAATATGGAGCTATTTTCAAAGTGCTGCCCAAGTCACTCTATCAGAAAAATAGTTGTTGGTATCAGAAAAAGAGCCCTCTTCCCCGACGGACTAGCAACTCCACATCCACCTCGCCACCAACACCGAAAGAGACCACCCGCACAATAGAAGACTGGGGCAAAGCACCGAACCTGAAACTGCAGAAGGCCTAACAAGATCCGATACTCCAACCCAGTAAGCCTCTCCACGGCAATCAACCCTCCCACCAGCTAGCCCTACCTCATCCCGCCTGACCAGCCGGCAGCCAGAGGTTGGCAACCCACCAGAGCCAGACGTCCCAACACCACCAGAGCAGCCCAACACTCAACCCCAGGAGCGCCAGGAAAACAAGTGGGAGCAGAGCACCAACCAGCCCCAAGCTCTGAACACCTTCCCAACCACCGGCAGCCCAGGACGACCAACGACCGGAGTTGCATCCCCTACCACTGGCACCAATCGACCACCCCACCACAGGAGATTAAGAGAACAGGGGAAAAAAGAGTGCCAAACCTCGGATCCGACCTCCAAAAGGCGGAGATTGTAGCAAAACGACCGGCTACACCGTCGAATGCTGGAGCCACCGCGAACACGACGATCCTGCTCGGAGACGAAGACGTGGCCCGATGAGACTCCAACTGGCCCGCTGAGAAGCCCACCACTCAACGGGAAGCTGGACGCTCTGGCCTAGCTGCGGCAGCCGCACGACGGCGAGGAGCACCCCGCCAAGGAGGAGGCCGACGGGAAATTAGCTAGAGTTATTGTTTTAAAAATTGGGGGAAAACGGGATAGAGAGAAAAAGTTTATTTCTAGGGAAAAAGTCGTACTTTCAATTTATTTTGTCCAGTCTAGAGACTTACTAGTACAAGTAAGGTAAACTTTGTAGTGCGCTAATAATCTCAATACTATATGTTGAAATATCAAAGGATAAGGCTACAGTCTCGTTACGGAACCATTTCGTTGGGATTTCTAACCATTAGATGCACATGTAGATTAGATGCACATGTGCATCTAACGGTTACAAATCCCAACGAATGGTTCCGTAACGAGACTGTAGCATTTTCCATGTATCAAAATATCTTCCAAATTGTTAGGTGGATTAAAAGTAATTCATCTTTCTCATGGGCTTTATTATGTAGAAAAGAAATAAGTACCATTACTGTTAAAAACCATTGTTTAATTTTAGAAGGGTTGTTAAATACTACTCTTGAATGGTATAAGTGTTGTGTATATCAATGGATGCCTACACAAGTGTCACATCGTCCCTCACAAAAATCTTGATTTTTTAAGATACTTTTATTAAAATAATATAAAAAAAAAATTGTTGATCCATAAAATGACAAACTAAGGTAGCTTGGGTAGGCTCTATTAAATACCGGAGCCTTAGATGACTTATTTCATCAACTAATATTGTAGAAGGCAAGTTATACTTTACACATACTAAGAATGGCTTGTTCTTCACAATGTTATCTCTCCTTGTTTCTCTTCCTCCTCGCTCTATTTTTCACTCTTTCTTCCTCCCACTCCATAACCCTTTCTCTCTCATACCCTACAAAGTCTACCGCAATCGACAGCGTATGGCAACAGCTACGTCAGACAGCTGTCGCCAGGTCAGGCAACATCGCCTCCACTACCCCTCTCTTTGCCAACAGTGACGGCATGTACACCTTCTCCCTCGCCTTCGGCACCCCGACACAATACCTTATGTTTGCTCTCGTCAGCGGCGGTGTCTTCACCTCGTTCCCTTGCGGGGCCAACTTCTTGTGCGTGAATTGCACCATCGACCCTAAAGATATTCTCATATTCAAGCCCGATCAGTCCAACACCTCTTCTCCCGTTTACTGCGACAACCCGTTACTGAGTAAGACCGTCTCCTTGGATCTTGTCCCCGTTTGCACCGAATGCATCTCGAATGACTCATGCTCCAATGCGCGGGCGGAGTACGCCGACGATGAAGGGTCGGTGACGATGTCAGGGTATATTCTATCCGAGTCCCTAACCCTACCCGAATTGAACCACCCGACACCCGATCTCCTTGTTGGGTGCGCTTCCGAGTCGGAGGGACCTCCGGAAGGTATAGGGATCGCCGGGTTCGGGCGTGTCCCTTCGTCACTCCCGTCCCAACTCAACCTCACGAAATTCTCCCACTGCTTTGTCTTGAACACATACGAAGACAACCGCAATGTAAGTGGTGCTTTGGTTCTCACCTGGGGAGAAGAAGAAGAAGAAGATAGCCGCTACACTCCGTTGATAAAGGTCACGAACGAGACGTGGGAAAACACGGGTTACTTGGTCAACATAGAGAAGATTATGGTTGGGGGAGTCAAGGTGGAGGTCCCGACGGAGTATCTGACCGTGAATGAGACTAGTGGAAACGGGGGAATGATGGTGGAGGCCGGCTACACGATCTCAGTCATGGTCGGACGCGTGTTCGCATCATTGGCTCGGGAGTTTGAGAAGCAAGTCGGGAAGAAGTACACAAGGGCTGTGGAGATGGAGAACGAGTCTTCGTTCTATCCGTGTTATTATGTTAAGGATTCGGCTATGAAAGGTTTGCCGGAATTGGGTTTCCATTTCGAAGGAGGGGCCGAGTTGGATATGCCGTTGGAGAATTACTTTGAGTATTTTAACGAATCGGTTATTTGCATGACCATATGGTCTTATGGTAATGAGACGACGACAGATGCGCTGGAGGGGCCTGCCATGGTGTTGGGTCAGAGGCAGATGCAGAATGTTTACGTGGATTACGATTTGGCCAACAATCGTCTTGGTTTTTTTCCGAAAAATTGCTCGCAAGGTTCTTATTAATTAAGAGACAAATCAGGCCATGGCCCTGGTCTCCTATACATCTCTACTTCAATATATTACTGTATGTGTGTGTACTTGTGTTGAGAATAAGGCTTAGTTGGTCATAGTTGTTGAGAATAATTGTTAGAGCAAATAGAGTACGGTGTGTCAAATTAAATGTTGTGTTATCTTATGTGAGTGAGTGTTAATTACTTGTTATCTAACTTAATATTCCGTTGAGATGATTTTCTTTTCAGTGTTTTTTAGACTAACTCATATATGTACATATATATTTTTATTTTTATTTTTTCCGTACTACTAACCTAGATCAAATATATATTTAGCCTAACAATAATATAAAATAAAATAAAATAAAATAATCAAAACTTATATCTGGATAAAATATTGTGTCGAAAAATGTGCGTATTTTATATATTTTATAGTGTACGTTTATACGCTTAATTTATTGTACGTTTATGTTTTTCGATTTATTTATTATTTGAATGGATCTCTGTTCTATTATTATTTTATACTTTATTTTCAACACATTGAAGAATTTAGTTTAGATCCGAAACGTTGGACGGAGTTCTTATTAGTCATTCTTGGACGCCCTGCTAATATAAAATAATGAGGCCCAAGATATGATGGTAGTAGACTATTAGAGCATCTCCAATGGTTGAAGGTCTATTTTGAGATGAACGGTGTGGAGAAAGGGAATAAAAATATTTTGTCTTTAATGGTTAATGTCAATTATGGAATAATTTGACACATGTAAGATAATAGGTTAGTGAGAAAAGAAATATAAAATAAATGATATAATATAAAATAAAAAATGTCTAGAAGTCTTTCTATATCTAGAAAGACTTTTACATTTTTGAAATGGCACATTAAATTTTTGGGACTAAGTGACAATGAAATAAAGCAATTCATGTATCATCGGAGATGCTCTTAGTCCTCTATCAAATGTCAAATTTAGTCCTCTATCAAATATCAAATAATGAGTCAATTCGCTGAGGTTTTTTGGTTCCCATTTTAGAAAATGTGTGACCTTTTTTTGAATGATTCTTTTAGCTTTTGCAGTAAAGGATTTTATTTTTCGTATTTGTGGCTTATATAAATTAATAATTAAATATTGATATTGTCTCTGCCATTGATGTAAAAAAAAAAACTCCAACACGCGTTAAGCGGGAGAAAAATAAAGGCAGGACACGTGTAGCAAGAAGAATACTAAAAAAAATGCGTGTCGCCACGAGCCTTCTCAAACTGGTTCATCCCGTTATAGCCCACTAATATTATCCATCAAAGATATTCGACTAATCCTTAAATTTGAAAACTCATTTCTAAAGTGATATGGAATCTTAATAGCATAGCCTGAAGAAATAAAAAATAATAATAAAAGTGTAAACACATAGCCCAAAGAAATAAAAAAATGCGCGAAAGCAATTTGAGAGACAGATAAACATAATCATCGTTTAGGAAATGCAAAAGCATTTTTTTACGTAATTTAAGTTGAAAAAAGTGACCTAGTTTAGATATTATATTAATATATATGTAATAGATAGTTATATTATTTCAAATTAAAAAATCATATAATTGTGAAGCGTGCAAATTTATATTCACCGTAACAACTCAAAAAAGACTAATCGCCCATATATATAATTACCAATTGCGCTGAGCCTAAGTGGCAGACTCATGTGCATCGTAAGGTTATTTGACATAAATTGATTATTCGTATTGACACATGTTCAGGTTTGATTTTGACTATTAGGCTTGGAAATTACAATAAACTATTTTAACTTTTCTTTTTTTTTAAGTTACCATATACTACTCTTAATTTTTTTATTTAATTCATATATTAATTATTATAAATATTTATTCCTTTTATTTTTAAAACTTTATAAATTTTTTATTTATATTTTATTTATATATGATCTATCAAAATAATCATATTTTAACGATCTTCGATTTGACATCCATATTGCATATATAAACTAAAAAATAATTTCATCTATATTTTTAAATAAAATCAATTTTATTATCAACTCAATTAAAAAACATCTTATAACAATATAAATTATTTGATAAAAATAATAAAAATATTTTCATTAATACACCATAAAATAATTATTTTATTTTTTTTTCATAAATTTTGGATCAAATTACATAAAATAAATATTAAAAAATATTATAAAATATTATTTCTCTTTTTAAGTAGAGTATATTAAAAATTGAATTTTACTATGTTATTTAAAATACTAAATATAAAATAATATCATAACTAAATATAATAAAATTAATTTTGTACTTCATAAAGTTAGAAAATAATACATTTCTACGTAAATTCTAAATTATTAAATATATAAATTTAAAATACTTAAAAAAATTAATAAAAGTGAGACACTGACTCTATAAATATGGATATAATCACAATAAACATATAATTGATTTTTTTAAAATTAATAAACGTGAGATACTGACTCTATAAATTGAATATAATCTCAATACAATTTGTTTTGTTTAAAAAAAATGAATCAACTATATGAAGTTGTAAATAATATCTATTTTATACATATATAATTCTACAAATATAATTAAAAACATCTTTTTCTGTAAATTTAGTGTAAAAATACGGGCACCATTTGAATTAATTATCACTTTGTTAGTTGTTTATTTTTGTTGCATATTCATCATACATAATTTCATAATAAAAATATAAATTATTATGATTTTTAATATACAAATATTAATATATTTAAGTACTCATGTAGTACATGAGTATTGTACTAGTTTTTTGAATAATACGCTTCACTCTGAATTGCAATGAAAAGTTTTGTTACCATAAATAGGAATGGGTACGCTTCACAATCATGCGCTTCACTCATCAGAAAGATAGCTTATATACGAAATATTTCATTGCAATTCAGAATTATGTAAAAAAAATTAATATATACATATTAATAAAAATAATAAATAAAGAAATAATAATAACGAAATTAAATTTAAATGACTTTTCTGTATTTATCTTGCATTTGAAAAGAAAACTAATAGTCTTGTCTTATAAATAATTTTGTTCAGACATTACATGATAAAAAAATGTCCAATCTAGAGACTTACTAGTACAAGTAATGTGAACTTTGAACTGCGCTAGTAATCTCATTACTATATGTTGAACTATCAAAATATCTTCCAAATTACTAAGTGGATTAAAAATAATTCATTTTTTTTTTTTTTTTGNTTATAATTCATTTTTCTCATGTGCTTTATTATGTGGAAAAGAAATAGATACCATTACAATTATATAGGGTTGTTATATACTATTCTTGAATGGTAAGTGTCACATCGTCCCTCACAAAAATCTTTATTTTTTAGGATACTTATATTAAAATAATATAAAAAAAAGTTGTTAGATCCATGTAATGACAAACTAGGTAGCTTGGGTAGGCTCTATTTTATTTTTTAGGATACTTATATTAAAATAATATAAAAAAAAGTTGTTAGATCCATGTAATGACAAACTAGGTAGCTTGGGTAGGCTCTATTAAATACCGGAGTCTTGGATGATTTATTTCGTCAACTAATATTGTAGAAGGCAAGTTATACTTTTTAGTTTAAAAAAAAACCATTTTCGAAAAAAATAAGTTATAATTTTTTTTATTTATAAATCGCATTTTGAAAATGCATTTTTAAGCCTTTTAAATTTATTTTTTGCAATATATAATATATAAAATTAATTTTATTAATAAACTGTATTTTAGAAATACAGTTTAAATAATATATAAAATGTATTTTACAATACATTTTATGTTAATTTAATTAACTTAATCACGTTATTAATTTTATTCAATGTAAAACGTATTCTCATAATACGTGCTTTTTAATTTTGTTCACTTCCTTTTTTTTTGTCCAGTTAATTTTTTCTATTTTTGTTTAAATAAATAAATCGTTGTTAAATAGTATTCTTGAATGGTAATTGGTAAGTGTCACATCGTCCCTCACAAAAATCTTGATCTTTTAGGATACTCTTATTAAAATAATATAAAAAAAAAAGTTGTTGATCCATGTAATGACAAACTAGGTAGCTTGGGTAGGCTCTATTAATTGTTCATCCATGTAAATACTGGAGCTTTGGATGATTTATTTGGTCAACTAAGATTGTAGAAGCAAGTTATACTTTACACATACATACTAATTAAGAATGACTTGTTCTTCACAGCGTTATCTCTCATTGTTTATCCTTCTCCTCCTCACTCTATTTTTCACTCTTTCTTCTTCCCACTCCATAACCCTACCCCTCTCCTCCCCTACAAAGTCCGCCCTAAACGACAGCCGATGGCAACAGCTTCGTCAGACAGCTGTCGCCAAGTCGGCCAACATCTCCTCCACTACCCCTCTCTTTGCCGGCCTTGACGGCCTGTACACCTTCACCCTCGCCATCGGCACCCCGACACAATCCCTTGAGTTGTCCCTATGCAGCGGCTGCGTCCTCGTCGCGTTCCCTTGCGGTTTCAACTTCTCGTGCGTGAATTGCGACATCGACTCGAAAGATATTCTCACATTCAAGCCCGATCAATCCAACACCTCGTCTCCAGTTTACTGCGACGACCCATTACTGAATAAGACCATCTCCTCGGATTTCATCCCCGTTTGCACCAAATGCATCTCCAACAACTCGTGCTGCGGTGCGCTGGCGGAGTATACCCACCCGCTGGAAGGCTCGTCGGGGTATATTCTATCCGAGTCCCTAACCCTACCCGAATTGAACCACCCGGAACCCAATCTCCTTTTCGGGTGCGCTGCCGAGTCAGAATGGTCGCAAGGTATAGGAATCGCCGGGTTCGGGCGTGCCCCTTCATCCCTCCCGTCCCAACTCAATCTCACGAAATTCTCCCACTGCTTTGTCTCAAGGCCGTTATACGAAGGTAACCGCAATGTAAGCGGTGCTTTGGTTCTCACCTGGGGGGAAGAAGAAGCAGAAGAAGACGAAGATGGCAACGGAAATCGCTACACTCCGTTGATAAAGATCACGAACGGAACTTGGCGACCCTCGAAATACTTTCTCAACGTAGAGAAGATTATGGTCGGCGGAGTCAAGGTCGAGGTCCCGACGGAGGATCTGACCACAACTGAGTCTGGAAACGGGGGATTGAAGGTGGAGCCCGCCATAGAGGCCACGGTCATGGACAAAAGCGTGTTCGAACCATTGGCGAAGGAGTTAGAGAAACAAGTCGGGAACAAGTACAGCAGGGCTACGGATGCGGAGAACGATTCTATGTACCGACCGTGTTATCATACTGGTGATTCGGGTATGAATGGTATGCCAGGACTGTGTTTTCATTTCCAAGGGGGGGCGGAGTTGGTTGTGCCGGTTGAAAATTACTTTTGGAATTATAACAAATCGGTTATTTGCATAGCGATATGGTCGCAGGTGCTGGAGGGGTATGCCATCTTGTTGGGTAAGTTGATGATGCAGAATGTTTATGTGGATTACGATTTGACCAACAATCGTCTTGGTTTCTGGCCCAAAAATTGCTCGCAAGTTTCTAAGTAAGAGACAAATCAGGCCCGGGCCCTAGTCTCCTATACATCTCTACTTCAATATATTTCTCTATGTGTGTATTTACCTGTGTTGAGAATAAGGCTTAGTTGGTCATAGTTGTCGAGAATAATTGTTAGAGCAAATAGAGTACGGTGTGTCAAATTAAATGTTATGTTATCTTATGTGAGTGTTTGTTACTTGTTATCTAACTTAATATTCCGTTGAGATGATTTCTTTATATGTACATAAGTATTTTTATTTTTATTTTTTCGGTACTAACCTAGATCACATAGGTATATAGCCTAATAATAACATAATATAAAATAAAATAAAATAATCAAAACTCGTGTACGGATAAATTGTCGGGTCGAAAAATATGAGTATTTTATATATTTAATAGTATACTTTTATACGATTAATTTATTGCACGTCATTATTTTTCGACTGACTGGTGTTGACGGATTTGAGAGTAAATATTTTATTCAAGCGAACTAGACTGGTTATAAACCGGTTCTCGGTCCATCTGGTTAGATTGTGTCCAACCCGGTTTAATTTAAAAACAATGAATAAATCATGATTAATGTTATTTATATATTTAATTTATAATACAATTGTAATATTATTTTCCCGTGCATCACACAGGCCACGCACTAGTATATAAAAATAAAACATAAATAAAAAAGTTATAAAGTTTTAAAAATTAGAAGAATGCATATTTGTAATAAATAATATATGAATTAAATAAGAAGGGTAAGAATAGTATATGGTAACCCAAACATGTGCAATACGAAGCACAAACTTATGTCAAATAAACTTACCAATGATACGAGTGTACCACATAGATTCAACGCATTCGAGAATTATATAAATAGTAGATTATCCAAATACAGTTTTATTTCATCAAGTTGTTATTTATATTTGATTTGATATTTATAAATTTATAAGGATTAAGAAGTTATAAATAAAAAATAAATAAATCAAATACTATCAAATAGTACAAAATAAACGTTAATATTAAGTCAATTTTAATTATCAGAAATTCCAGGCCTGAATCGAACAAAACTAAAAGGCTAAAATAACCGAAATAAAGAAGGACCTAGAAGCCTCGGGAGAATTCTCTTTGGTCTTTGCCGAATCAACGCTCTTACGCTATCCTTTTTAGGGAAAAAAAAATCATCTAAAGTCGGTCTTCCATCTCTATATAAACCAAACAATCCCGAGGATTTAATTTATACGCATCTTAAGATCTGTTAATTAAGCTTTCCTGCAAATAATACTACAATTCTTAGCATTCGATTCGCGTTTCTATTTGCGCCGCTGTAAAGGTATGATCTCTTTTTCCTCCACCTTCGATTTCAAATTAAATGAATCCTTCTGTGTTGGATTATGTTGATGTATTCGATTTGGTTTAGGTAGTTTGAAGCTGTTCTCGTTTCAGATCTAGGTTTTGTGTTATCGGTTTTAGCTGTGATGAAAACTTATCAGAGGAAATTAATTTGATGATGTGAGATTGTATATGATGGTAGTCCCTTAACAGGGTTGAAATTTAGCGTAGGGAATTATTTGATGTTGTGAGATTGCATATGGTGGTGGTGGTCACCATGTAAATTTATGAATCAATTTGGGGTTTATTTGATTATGTAGATTTGTGGTTGATTTGTTGATTTATGAATCGATTTGAGGTTGATTTGAATATTGAGATCGTAGAAAAGATTGCTGAATTTGCTCATTTGTACATCAATGGCTAGTTGATGGTCACAAGTTCCTTTTTTTGGAGGATCGGTCGCGGGTAATTGTGGTTTAACAAAGAAAGAGGCAATCATAGGTTAAATATCTGCAGACTAGAGTTATATTTATATTTGTTAAAAGACTTTCTGGACACTAGAGTTTGTAGTTTTTGTTTCAATTCACTCATGATACCTTTGAGAAATTTTGGATGCCAAAGCATCTGTATCTTATTCACCTTGTTATACTTCTTTTATATTAGTGATAAAAAAAGATCAAATCTTGAGTTTGGTTTGCTAATCCCATTTCCTTTATGAACTCCAGATGCAGGTCTTTGTGAAGACTCTCACCGGGAAGACCATAACCCTTGAGGTCGAAAGCTCGGACACCATAGATAACGTCAAGGCCAAGATCCAAGACAAAGAAGGCATCCCTCCCGACCAGCAACGTCTCATCTTTGCCGGTAAGCAGCTTGAGGATGGCCGAACGCTTGCTGACTACAACATTCAGAAGGAGTCCACTCTCCACCTTGTCCTCCGTCTACGTGGTGGCATGCAGATTTTCGTCAAAACCCTCACCGGCAAAACCATAACCCTTGAAGTTGAGAGCTCAGACACAATCGATAATGTCAAAGCCAAGATTCAAGACAAGGAAGGCATTCCTCCCGACCAGCAAAGGTTGATCTTTGCCGGAAAACAGCTCGAAGATGGAAGGACTCTTGCCGACTACAATATTCAAAAAGAGTCGACTCTCCACCTTGTCCTCCGTTTACGTGGTGGCATGCAGATTTTCGTCAAAACCCTCACCGGCAAAACCATAACCCTTGAAGTCGAGAGCTCAGACACAATCGATAATGTCAAAGCCAAGATTCAAGACAAGGAAGGCATTCCTCCTGACCAGCAAAGGTTGATCTTTGCCGGAAAACAGCTCGAAGATGGAAGAACTCTTGCTGACTACAATATTCAAAAAGAGTCGACACTCCACCTTGTCCTCCGTTTACGTGGTGGCATGCAGATTTTTGTGAAGACTTTGACTGGGAAGACGATTACACTGGAAGTGGAGAGCTCGGACACGATTGATAACGTGAAGGCAAAGATTCAGGACAAGGAAGGAATACCGCCTGACCAGCAAAGGTTGATCTTTGCAGGGAAACAGCTGGAGGACGGGAGGACCCTTGCGGATTATAATATTCAGAAGGAGTCGACACTTCACCTCGTGCTTAGGCTGCGTGGGGGTGCTTGCTTTTAGTGGTTCTTTGATTGAAATTGGTTTGTTATGCTTTTAGCGGTTGGGGATATGAAAGCTTTGCTGTCTTTGATTGAATTTGGTTTGTTATGTTGCCTGCTGTTTATTGATGAAGACTAGAAATAATTAAATAAATGATGGCAATGAACATCTTTCTAAGTTGATTGTCTTGTTTCCGTTCTGCTTGAGAATATTTTTTTATTATTTTTTTCCTGGTTGATTGCGCTAACGTTGCTTGCTTTGTCAAAGTTCGAATACTTGCATAATCAACATCATCATCAGTAGCATCTGCTTGTCCTTCCACTTGAAAAGGGGTTCTACGCAGAATTTACTTTTAGACTTGGAAAAAGAATTTTTTTCTTTTAACAGGAATTTTATAAGCTAATCAAATAAATTATAAATTATTTTGTTTGTCTACCAAATATAACATAAAACAAATATAACATAAAACTAATTGTATTTTTATATGAAGTTACTCTGACCCAAACAGTTGTCACTATATAAAAATTGAAATTAATTATTCACTTGAAGAGAACACAATTTGGGATGCAATCATATGTGCCTCTATAGAAAAATTGAAATTTAATATTCACTCGAAGAGAACACAACTCGGCCTTGAAGAATCCGGATAGTATCTATATTGTAATGATTTCCACTGCGACCAGCTTTGCTTAGGCCTCGTTTACTTTGTGTGACGGGAGTGGACAATTTAATCCAACCAACTTTACACGTCAACATTTTCTCCAATCCCGTCAAGCATTTACTATGTGGGACTAAATGAGATGATAAAATTATAAATGACACATTTACCCTTGTACAAAGAGTAAAAAATGCAGACGGCCAAGGTCGGAAAAGATGGAGAGTGAGTAAGCCCCAAACTGCAAATGTTACTTCCGCAGCATAGTTATACTGATATAAGCTTATGACAGATGAAGAAAATGAGGAAAAAAAAAAAAGGTAAAACCATTTTTTATTTTACACTCAAAGGTGTAGGTTTGACCACCATTAAAATGGGGCTTCCAGCTTCAGCCACAAAAAGGTAAAAAAGAGAGAGAAATAAAGATGTAGGTCCAAGAAGCTTCGTGTTTTTTCGCTCGCCATTTACAGCTGCAAGAAGGTTTCTTTAGCTCCTCTTTTTCGTTTTCCTTGAAAACCCTCGAGGTATGGAAATTTTGAAGCATTTCTTCGGTGATAAACACTGCAAACTGCTGCAATTTTGTTCGGGTTTTTCGAATTGCGGCGGCTTTGAGGGGTGTGTTGAGTTTTGGTGTCCCTTGTCTAATTTTCCGGCAACAATTTAAAAAGATGCTCTGAATTTCGAATTCAATTTCTGTTCTAACCCTTCTTCCTGACTCTCTCTGCAAAAACTAGGGTGAGACTGTTTTCAGGACAAAATGGTAATTGTGAGATTGGGATTAAATTATCAGAGGGTGAGGCCGTGATCATTTAATCGGCCAATGGAGGATTTAAGTGTGGGACCCGCAGCCACATAATTGCCACATCACACCAATCCCATCCCAGTCCTTTAACGTAAACATAGGATATCTCAGGACAAATTTAGTTATCTTGTCCTATCTCGAGAAGTAAACGATTTGTATCGATTTGTGTATTGATGAGGCGGTTCAACTCGAATTCATGATCACCACATTTTCGAGGGTTGTCATGTGGTGAGTAAATGAATTGAGAAGACCTATAGTTGAGGGATATTTGAATTGAAAGGAGAGATTCATGCAACAACCAACACTGGATATATTCTTAATGATGAATAACAATGTATTGTTTGACTAATATCTACATATATCGTTGATTCATTTCACATTTTATAAAATTTGATGATTTTTCAATTACATTATATGATAAATTAATTTATTAATTCGACTCTAATTTTTTTAACTAGTACGCAACTCGTGTGATTCATGAGCTACATTTATTCATGGACTTTTATAAAATGAAGGTTATTCGACAATAAAAGAGTTAAATAAACAAACCAAAATTCGAGTTCGAGCTCGACTCGTTAAGGCCTCGAGCTCGAGCCGTAACAAGCTAATCTCGAGCTTTAGTAAGTTGAAGAATAAAAAACTATATAAAAATTCTATTTTCGATCCTTATCGAGCTCGGCTTGATCGAGCTTTAAATGAGCTCGAGCTCGACTCGTTAAGGCCTCGAACTCGAGCCGAGCTGAGTCAGACTCGTATAATTTACCAGCACTAATCCTCCATAACTCTACCTTCATCATCCCGTAAAAATAGAATCTAATTTCTTTTTCTTTGTGTTTAACCCGACGATGAAAGAATGTCAAAGTCCAATCTCAATAGGACTTCTGTATTAATAAGAATTTATCTTGAACCGTAACTTCATCTAATTCACTCCTCAGCTCCACATCCAACCTCACCAGCTTTGAAGAGTAATAGTGTTGTAAACAACGTTGTATTTCATCAAGCATAGTCAGCAACTCTTTCTTCCGCTTAAAGATATTAACAAATACATTAACGTTCCACTGCTTAACCTTTTTTGGTAAAATCTTGAACAGCCTCCATGAAAGGCTTCCCTACTGTCGCTTCTTCATTCATAAAATTTTCAAAGTCGTCATGAAGCAACCACGAAGCTAGAAATTGGAACTGTTTCTGTTGCATCCCCTTACCATTCAAGTCCTCAACATAAACTAATAGAGTACTTGTCCACCCATTGCTCATTGCTAACAAAACGGTCCATCTTCTCTTATAGATTAACCTGAAACCAAGTGAACTTGGTATCGTTAGTGGGAAGTTCCTCTAAATTGTTTTCAAACATCCATTCCGCCATCCCTAACCTAGCATGGTGATCCCAAAACAACCACGATTCATCCACTTAAAGGGCAATATAGTTCAACTCTAGCCATAGAAACCGGCGGCCCTGAACTTGAGGACATGCATAGACAAAAGTCATAAGAAACACATATTTGTCCATCCTTAGTCTAGCATGGACGAATTGTCGATGATAGCTTAGTATCGTAACCTCCACCTTTTCTCTCCATAGAACCCAGATTTTTCCTTTAAAATATTCAAACTCCACCCGAAATGATTGACAAAAACTACTTCACTGGATGTACTCGCCAGCTTCTTTGCCACTAATTTTAGCTCCAAAAAAGCCACAACATCGGGTCTATACCCATTAATAATAGTAGAGAAAGCTCGTTGAAAATTCTTCGAGTCAGCTCCTTGAACATTCTATGTCAATATAATCATTAATAAAACATTGGAGTGCAAGAGTGACCACCGTAAAAAAAAAAAAAGAAAGGGACTGAAGCACTCCCTTCTTACTCCTCTTCCATCTCACACGAAGAGTCCCTATCAACATGGCCTTTCAATCTAGACAACGAAAGATCCTTCTGATTACTGGTTAGTGAACCATCCATCAACGTATTCGCACTTTGGTTTTAAAAAAAACCTTCAGGCCCCAAGACATTATGTGTACATTACATTAAAGGTGTACTTGGTTGGATCTTATAGGTGTGATATCATGCAATTTCCGAAGGGCATGCTTGTTTATAAATTATTTCACTCACCTTTAATTCATACTCAAAATCTAACTTAACTTTAACTCAACTCCACTATCTTTAATATTATTCATATAATTAAATAATACAAACCAATTATTCTTACACATCACATCAACATTAATTCACTATTCATCCACTCACATAATTTTAACTACCTATCATTTCAAATTATTTCCAATCATTTATCTCCTACTTTTACATCAAATCAATTTTAATCATTTTGTTTTAAATATTATTTTAATACATTCTTAAAATTCCACTAATAATTAACCATATCACTTTTTTCAAAATTAACTATGGTTAACCAAAATAACTCATTTTGGACGAATTATTTTGTAAACAAGCAAGCACTAATATTTCCTATACATTATAATGTTTGGTTCAAATATGTTAAGCCCTTGAAATAGACTAAAGCCCGGTTTTTTTATCACAATTGATATAGCACCCGGAATAGCTCGGCGGACCGGTCTGAGTGGGTAACTCAGATTAGGCCGGTCTAAAGGAGCTCTAGCTCGATGACAGAAGCCGACCCAGTTGAGGAGCTCTTACATACAACTCAAGGTACTGGTCAACTGATAAATGACCTAGAGCCACCGACCTCAAAAAGCTTGGGTATACGAGAGGATCTAGTAGAGAGAGGTCCCAGGACGAGAGGTCGAGGGGACGATCTCGGAAAGGTTCGCAGCAGTAAGGTCGAGAGGTCGTGGTTACGACTTAGGGACCTAATGTTAGTGCGGTAAAGGTGGAAAGAATCCTATATGATGGAAATTATATATTGCTAAAGAGAATTTCCTAGATAGAGACGTGGTAAACTATAAAAATGGATTTGGTTGGATCTCTTTCCCAGTACGGATTCTCTTGGGCACTAAATCACATGCACTATATAAGGGTAACCAGCTTCTATGTTATTATCTATCGTGTATTCACATATTTAGTGCATATATTACTGGTTTATTCGCATGAGCAAGTACTGACTTGAGGGACAATGTTGTTATTGCTCACAGATTGATGTATGATTTGATTGTTTTTTAGGCCATCTGTCGTGATGGTGCTCCTGCTTGTATTGAGGCTCATTAGCCTTCCGAACTTGCTACCTTGTATATTTTTTCTTGGTGAAATGAAAACATTTACCGAAAAAAAAAAAAAGTATTAACTTGAACGTGGGAGTGTCTGTGTCGGGACCCCCTCCCGCACATTGTAGGTAACCGGAGCACGAGGCAGGAGGATTTCATGGATTTGTCGGTTCAGTTCGGTCCGTGACAATACGGCACATCAACAACTTTTCACCATACTATATCCCACCTTCTACATGGGATGTGTAATACATTATATTTTTTCTTCAAAGTTTCCATACATACCCTATTTTTTTTATTTCAATTAGACTGGAGTAGATATGATGAAAGCTGATTTGTGTTGTTATTTCGTCATCTCTCTGGAATGATAGGGTTTCGGTGGTGAAATGATTTCTTAATGACGAGATCTGTGGGGAGAGAATCGGAGGGAGAAGGGAGATGAGATGCCCATGAAACGATATAGTGGAGGTCGCGGTGGTGGAGGCGATGGCGTTGAGGAGAGAAGGATATGCGATTGATGACAGCGGTGACGGGGGATATTGTGTGAATAGGATTGTGGATGAAAATCGAGAGGAATGAAAATGTTTTCATACCTGAGATGGTGGTTGTGGTGGTGGCGGCGGTGGTGGGGAGCAAAAGTTTTTCTCTGTGTGTGACATTTTTTGCCAATTTCAAGCGGCGTAGAATACTTTTGTTAGCTTTTTCCAATTTTGACTTTTGGGTCTAATATAAATATGTTGTAATTAGCATAAAAAATCGCTTCATTTGGGGGCTCTTTTTTGGTATAATTGAGAATTGTAGAGAGGTTAAGGAAATGAACACGACATCTATTTTCTGAGGGTAACATTTATAAATTTAATTTAATATAGAGGGCAAAAATGAAATGTTGCATTTTAGTTATTGTTATCAACCTTGAAACAAATATGTTAATGGGCCTTATTGTATAAAATGCATAAAGTGAATAGGTCCAACGGAAATTAATCAAGCTCGATCCATTATTGCAACCAAACACACCCTAAGAAGGTAAACATGTAAGTCTNTATGAAATTTGGCCAAGTTGATAATATTATACCTACCTAAACATTTATATTAAATTATTATATATGATAAATATAGAATAATATATATACAAATTCCAGTGTTTTTCAACCCGGACCGACCCGGCTGGTCGACCCGGGACCCAGTCGACTCGGAGCTAGAACAGGTCCGGGTGGGCTATTCGGACCGGGAAACAACGGACCCGGTCAAACCCGGTCAACCCGGTATACCCGGGGCATTGATCCGGCTGGGTCAACCCGGTTGACCCGGTCCTATATATTTTTTTTATTATTTTTTTATTTTTTAATATATTTTTTGTTTTTAAAAAATAAAACTATTTATATATATTTATATGGTAAATATTTATCATGAAATACATATTATTAGCACTTTAATGTGCAAATTTTATATACAAAATATTTAATTTTGTTATTTTTATGTATATTTATAAGACAAAATACTCTATATATAATTTAAAAAAATTTAAAATTAATTATCTGGTTCAGTAATTGACCCGGCGATTGAACCGGTGACCCGGTGACCTGCCCGGATCAATTCCCGAGCCGGATTTAAAAACTATGACAAATTCATGTCAGACTCGTACAACCCACGGTAAATGTACTAATTAATTATTTTTTAACTGATATTTCTTATTTGTTTGACAAATGGCCTCAAATACATAAGGTTGGACATAGCTTAAAATTAATATTTTGTTGCGAATTTTGCTGCGGACTGCTTGGCGTCTTTAGCTCATTCATGTCCGAATAGCTGCCAGAGATTTATTGACCCACCACTAGAAGTGCAACCGTGGTTATTACATGACGTCGTTGGCGTCGCTCATCCACGGAATACCACTATCTAGAGGTCCTTAGGCTTCGGCCTCCGTTCTTTGTTCCAAAAAAAAAAAAAAAAAAAAAAAAAAAATAATATTTTAGTCGGAACAGAACCTTCGTAAATCTTTACACGTTAGATCTATAGAGCATGTTTGGATACAAAATTTTTCAAAAAAATCCAAACATTTTTAACTCAACCACTTTTTTTAACTCAACTTTAACTCAACCTCACTATCATTAATATTATCAATATAATTAAATAATATCAATCAATCATTCTTACACACTACCTTACCTTAATTCACTATTCATCCACTCACATAATTTTAACTAACCATCACTTCAAATTTTCTCTCACCTACTTTACATCAAATCAACTTTAATCATTTTATTTTAAATATTATTTAATATACCCACTAACAACTAACCATACCAACTTTTTCAAAATTAACCAAACCAAACAAAAAAATCCAAACAAAACCAAAATTTTTTATATCCAATCATCCTCT